TTTTTTTTTTTTAAATCCAAGTTAAAACCTTTATCGAGAAACAGGCGCTACTTACTAACAACAACAACAAACAACACACATCCAACAATTCAAGGAACCTACACACGCTCGAGCTAATGAAAATGACAATCTCATAAATCATAAGTTTCGAAACTGACGAAAACAAATAATCAACAGTACAATAGCAAATAAATAAATCCTACACATGCATAAGCCAACAGTTACAAAAATAAACCAGCTTATTCAAGTCTCAACATCATCCAAAAAGTTTAACATAAATCCATGGTTCATCCAACATAAACATGGTTTCAAGCTGAAGCATAAATAATCCAAAATAAAAGCAAGTAGTTCATCATATAATAAAAATAAGCGGAAGCAAAGACACATCAGTTAATGACCACCATCTCGCTCGTCCTACGCCACCGCCTCCAGCTCGTCTCAACCTAATACAAAGGAAGAGAGAAAACAAGAAAATAATGGGGGTGAGCAACCAACTAGCTCACCATTATCGCACAGTTATCCCGTATAATTATTTTAAAAGTAGTATTACGGTAAAACAGGTCCAGTATCGGTATGCACAGAATTCCTAGCCTAAACCCCCTACCCAGCCCTATCGTAAACCTCCTATGTACATACAACAACCTTCCGGATACAACGGCATGGCTGTAACTGGAAACATTCCCACCCCCGGGTACAACGGTTCGCAGGATCCTTTCCAGGAGACAGCAGAGATGTTTTTCCCTCGGATACAACGGCATGGGGCGTCCCTCCCGGATACAACGGGCAGGCGACCTCCTACTGTTTTCGCATTCATCAAGGCACTAGCGTTCGAGACACTTAGACTAGAGTTCTCATGCATACAAAAATTTTCAAAAGAAAACATTACACGAAATAAGGAGTGCGATAAATATGGAATACATCATAAATGTACCCACCTGATAGCAACAACCGATCAAAGTCACAAATCTCGAAATGAGGCGAGGTCACACCTCTAGACACCTACATTAAGTCCAGATACTAAAGTCAACACTTTAATCTAGACCTATGTAGAAAATTCACAAATTGACATAGCCGAACTCGGTTCGACCAAGTGGTTCGTGAAGCTCTGTGGATATGGGAACTCTAGGACTTAGACTCGATCAAACCACATACTCAAGTTCACATAATCACAAATGAACGACAATCAAACGAGCCACAAGTAAACACATAGCAATTTTCGGTCAACAACACTTAACCGAAAATCACCAAATAAAACAATTTCCGAAATTGACACTTGAAATAGAAGGTATATCAAACCTACGAGTTAGGCTCTGAAAATTTTACATAAAATTCACCTCCCAGAATTTAGTAAAAACACCAAGTTTCAGCCTCAAACTTATTAAACCCAATTTTATAAAATTCACACAAGTTTTTCAACAAAAGCGAGTTTAAATTAAAAACACATGATAATGAATGATTCAGGCCATAAAATTTTTATCTAAAATATTTCATCATGTTAACAGCAACACATAAAAATAACAGCCCTTAACACTCAGCAAGTGATTTTATAAAATTAAAACAACATTCAGCCAAGTATTGCACTTATAACAGGACCGACCTCAAATGAACTCCAAAATTTCTAAACTTTTTACAGCATGCGGAACATTACAAAATAAGCACCTCCACAAATTTTCAGAATTATTCAGCTTCAGCACAATTTATAACAATTAAAACAAAATCGGGCAGAAACACCAAATAAATCATTAACTCTATCAAACCCAGTTCAAAAATTCTAAACGTTTTATACAACATATAATCATGCCTGGGACACAACATATTCGAAAATTAGCCAGAAAAGAGCACCCCACAATTAATTATGCATTTTTCAAGAAACTGAACAGAAATCAAATTAATTTTTAAAAATAGCTAAACACCTTTAAAAATCATGAAAATTTTACAGAAGCTACCTATTCACAAACAACAACTGCTCCTAAAATTTCAAGGCAATCGGACCAGTATTCAATTTATGATGAATTTTACATTCAAAACAGCTATTATGAACTTCGAAAATTCATAACTTCAAATTTACAAGTCGAAACGACACAACGTCAACGCCATTGTGTTAATAACGATCCTAAGTTCCTAAATCCACAGCAACTCATCATTTATACTCAGTTCTCGCTCAATTCGCACGAATCGACGAGTTCGGCATAAAATCACAACTATATAATATGCACAACACCACATTAAACATGAATACCTCCGAACACCTCAATCGACATGAACACACATACACTCACGCAAAACCGAAAGGCACAACAACACAAGGATAATAATGCAAGATAGACGAGGAGTCGAGAATCGATACCGTTCTCGGGAAACGAGCGAGAAGGGTTCGAATCGGGCTCGACGGTGGACTTCGTCTCGCGAAGGAAGAGAGCTCGTCGTGCGGGAGGCGAGGTTGCTGCTGCGTGGTCGTGGTTGCGAAAGGGAGCAGCAAGGTCATGACGGTGCTGTGCTGCAGCTTGGCGGTTGACGCGTCGTCGGGGCTTGCCGGAGGACTCGCCGGGAAGAAGAAACTTGCAGCGAAGTGCAGCGGGTGGCGGAGCTTCTTCGCGGAGGTGGAGGAGCAGGGTCGTCGGAGGCGCTGCGTGATTTGGGAATTGAACTTCATCGGAAAGGAGCTCCGCAGGCGGAGGGAGGCTCGCCGGCGATGGGAGCTCGCGAAGGAGAAGGTCGTCGGAGGTGAAGGCTTCTCGCGGACAGTGCTCACCGGGAAAAAGCTTCGCGAAGAGGGGAGATCACCGAAGGGGAGGGACTCGCCGGAGGATGTCTGCGGAGGTGCTGCTCGCGGAGGTGCAGTGGTTCGCCAGCGGGAGGAAGTTGCAGGTGGAGGATGGTGACGACGGGGTGATCGACGGATTTAAGAGAGCGAGAGATAGAGGGATGGAGATCGGGCTTTTTTTTTTCAAAAGAGGCGAGAGGTTGAGAGGAATTCGATTGAGGCGTGAAATAGGGTTCTGCAAATCTGATGGAGTCTCGATGGGGATGAAGTAGGCGTGAGATTGGGATAATAAAGTGGCTGAAAAATCCTTAACTTTTGGGCCAAGAGTCTCTTGCAGTATGGGCCGAAAATAATAATAGCTATCAGGCCGATAATAAATGGACATGATAAATTGGCTAAAGACGGTTCGAAATAAATTGAATCGGCTAAAATAATCTGAAAGGGACGAATTGTCCATCATTGGGTCGAAAATAATAGTATTCGAGGTTCGGGTCAGAATGGCTCAAAGACGGATTAAAATGGAAAAAGTTCGATTTACGCGATTAAACCGAAAAATCGCCGAAACAATTAATTATAACCGGTAATATTTTAATTACACACCTTATTTTAAAATAAATATAATAATAATATTAATAATAAAAATAATCATTTAAGCAATTAATTACAATTAGACATTTAATAATATTTAGGCACATAATAATAATAATAATAATAATAATAATAATAATAATAGTAATAATAATAATAATAATCTCAAATAATCCACAAATAAACGGGGCACTACAGAACGACAACAACATGCACGTTTAATTTGGCAAAATAAACCATAACGCAACAGAATCTATTGTTAGTGTTCAGACATTACCGTTTTAAAAAATTTGCCGACTTAGACACGTTTCTGATTTCCTTTGATGGAGATCGTCTAATTATCACAATCCGATGGACTGCCGGATCTGGCCTTTTCAATTTTGATCGAGTCACTAAATCATGAACGGATCATCAGATCGAGCTCGTCGGACTCGAGCTAGTTGAATCGGGCTCGGTTCACAAGGTCGACTCGGTCGGACTTGGGTTGACTCAGTTGGAACTCGGTAGGCTCGGTCGGGCTGACTCCGATTGGCTAGGCTCATCTCGGTCGGTTCAAGTTACGGACAGCCGCTGGTAGGCAGCACAGGTCATGTCTGGTGCTGGTCGGGACGCGCGGGAGCTAGAGCGGACACGGGCAGGCGTTGGGATCTCGGGAGCGTGTTGTGCGTGACTCCTATGCCGGTTCGGACTGGGCCTTGTGTGAGTGAGGACACGAGAGTCCTTCTCATGCGTTGAGTGGGACACAAGTGACATTCGCAGGCGGATGCTGGCAATGCATGGGCGCGACGATCTCGGGCAGCGACGTTGCGCGAGCTGGCAGACGATAGCATGCGTGATCGGGTCGCCGTGCGTTGCAGACCATGTGCATGGGCTTGGATGCGTGCGGCGACTGGCCGATTCCCGCGGCTGCGTGCGGCTGGGCGCTGGCGGCGGCGGGCGGCAACGGCGATTTCCGACGGCAACAGATGGTGGTTCACGGCGGCTATATGATCGGAAAAAGGAGATCTTCAAGGTTTGATCTATCTAACCTTAAGATCTTCTAATGTATGATCTAAACACCTACTCCGAAAAATCTTGGTGGGCGATTTTTCTGATCTCTCAAACTCTCAATATCTTGAAAAACTCGAAAACTCCTTCTTCCCTTAGGATACCTTGAGTTAGGCGTGTGGCATAGAGTAGGGGGAGAGTTCAAGACATGGTGTATTTATAGACTACATTAGGGACCTTAAGGAGGTGCTTAATATGGACTTATTCTATTAGGCTAAGGAAACCTAATTCATTCCACATACTTTTGCAATCTAGGATATAATTTCTCCTAACCCTAATTACCTTATAGAAGACTCCTTAGTCTACTAATCCTGGGTAATATTCTAGAAGGAAAATTTTCCTCCTAATGGAATATTAATTACGAAATTAAATTAATTCCTTAATCTAAATAAAATTAAACAATAAAACATTTCCACTAGAGTAATATTATTGCTCTTCTCATTTAGCTCTAATTTATTCAATAAATCAAACCTCCAAATGATTAATTGATATTAATCTAATTGACTGATTTATCTCCCTACGTTTAAGATATAACGTTCATCAATTAATTTAATTAGTGATAATTAAATTAAATTGAGTTCTTCATTTCCGAAATTAGTACCACTCGGTTCATTATTCATTATGCCGGAAATTATCCACCTAGAGGGTTTAACATAATATTCTTTACTGAGATCATTTGGGGGAAGTCATCAACCCAGCGCACTGGGACATAGTGACTGTAAATAGTTTATAACGACACATCATATAAACACTCTTACTTACCAAAATAGCAAGTATGTCATCCTAACGGAATAGGAATCACCTTTGCTAAATCAAATAAATAAGTAGTTAATATATATGCCAATTTTATATTATCTTACACCTTAAGAGAACGCATCAATTACTGAAGGTCTAGATTATAACAATGATTAGTAAATCTTATAATCTTCTCATTCCGCGGTCCGTTCAATACTTATCATAAGTACTAGTGTAATCCATCAGTGAAAGATCAACTGAATCAAGACTACACACTCTTTTTCCAACAGGGGTCTCACTGCTTGTCTAAACTGTGAATAATTAAATTATATTTTACAAGGAACCGTTAATATGATCTTTCTGTTCGACACGACGAACCACATTATCTACAATGTAAAATAATGGAGTTATGATTGCATAAATAAATAAACTGCAAACATAAATACTTTGACTAAAACACGATTGCTATGGTATTGTTTATATCTGAAAGCCAAGCTTTACAGTATATCTAAGAATCTCCCACTTATGCTTAATAAGCTCATGGCTATCACTAACCAAAATTCTCTTTCATTCTAATTCTCAAAGACTAGTCTACTATGTCGCCTAACGTCTGACTCCCATTCCTTCTGCGGGTCTCTCAAAGACTTTCGCTAGTAGGCTCTTCGTAAAAGGATCTGCTAGGTTGTCCTCTGACAGTATATTGGCAACAACGACTTCCCCTCGTCCAACGGAAGCAACTCATCTGCCTGGTAAACCAACATATACTTCTTAGTCCTTCTCAGGTACTTGTGTATATGTTTCACCGTAGACCAATGTTTCGGACCTGGATTACTTTGATATCTGGCAACCATGCCCACGGCATAACAAATATCTGGTCTCGTACACAATATCGCATACATAAGGCTTCCTACTGCCGACGCATAAGGAACTGCCTTCATGTCTTCTATCTCTTGAGGCGTCTCAGGAGACATCTTCTTAGATAGAGGGATTCCATGTCGAAAAGAAAATTTCCCTTTCTTCAAATCCTGCATGTTGAAACGGGCCAGGGCAATTTCTATGTATGTGGTTTGGGATAGGCACAACTTTTTCTTCTTTCGGTCTCGAATGACCTTGATTCCGAGAACATGTCCTACTTCTCGCAATCCTTCATCTCAAGTTTCTCGGGTAACCATACCTTTACGTCTGATAACTTCTTCGCACTTGTTTTCAATGAGAAGAATATCATCAACGTACAGCACAAGAAACACTACTACGTTTCTTTCACTTTTCTTTACACATAGTGCTCATCCGGACATTGGGTAAATCCAAACGATTGGACAACCTCGTCAAAATGGATTTTCCAAGACCTCGAAGCTTGCTTCAGTCCATAAATAGACCGCTTCAGCTTACAGATCCGATGCTCTTTCCTTTTGAAATGAACCCTTCTGGTTGCTACATATAGATGTCCTCATCCGAATTCTCATTAAGGAAAGCGGTCTTAACATCCATTTTCCAAATCTCATAATCTATATGACCAGCAACAACCAAGAGAATCCTAATGGATTTGAGCATAGCTACCGGCGAAAAAGTTTCCACATAATCGATCCCTTCTTTCTAAGTATACCCCTTCGCAACAAGCCTAGCCTTGAAGGTCTCAACCTTCCCATCTGATCATCTCTTTCTATTATAGATCCACTTGCATCCAATGGCGCGAACAACACTGGGTGGTTCTACAAGTTCCCAGACCTCATTAGAATCCATTGATTCCATCTCAGATTTCATCGCACTTTGCCAAGACTCTGTATCCCGATCTTGGAGTGCCTCACTGTATTTCCATGGGTCGGTTTCTAGCATATCTAGGACATCCTCAGAAGACTCTCCCAGACCCAAAAACCGTTTGTGCTGCCTGATAACCCTCTCACTACGACGAGGTACTACTTGCTCAAGTGCATTGTCAATGACACGTGTTGCAGTAATTTGTAGTGTAACATCAAGTGCACTCGGTATTGAAGTACTTTCTCCATTTACCTCCTCAAGAATATTCCTACTACTTGATTTATGATCCATAACATAGTCTTCTTCTAAGAACCTCGCGTTCGTGCTAACGATCACTTTCTGGTCCTCAGGACTATAAAATAGACCACCTTTCATTTTCTTAGGATATCCCACAAACAGCCTCACTTTTGAACGCGGCTCTAACTTATCAGTTTCTGTTCTCAGCACATGTGCTAGACTACCCCATATATGGAGATTCCTTAGACTAGGCTTAAACCCAGTCCATAACTCCATGGGCGTGACTGGCACTGATTTAGAAGGAACCAAGTTAAGAACATGAACTGTTGTTTCTAGGGCATATCCCCAAAACGAATCTGGTAATGTACTATAACTCATCATTGCCCTAACCACCTCCATAAGAGTCCTATTCCAACGTTCTGCTACGCCGTTTTGCTGGGGAGTGCCAGGCGCAGTCAGTTGGGATGTAATCCTATTATCCATTAAGTAGTTCCTAAATTTACTTGAGTGATATTCGCCACCATGATCGGATCGTAACGACTCGATACTTTTCCTAACTTCTTCTCCACAGCTGCCTTATACTCCAAGAACTTCTCGAAGCACTCAGACTTGTGGCGCAGTAGATAATTGTATCCATATCTCGAGTAATCATCAGTAAACGTAACAAAGTACTCGAAACCACCTCTTCCTCTAACAGTCATAGGACCACATAAATCAGAATGAAGTAGCCCTAACAAATCTTCGGCTCTATTCTATTTTGCCTTAAAAACCCGTTTAATCATTTTTCCTTCCAGGCAGGACTCGCAAGTTGGAAAGGCCTTGACTTCCAACGACCCCAAGGGCCCGTCTGCCACAAACCTTTGAATCCTCCTAAGGTTTATATGACCAATTTTTAGATGCCAAAGATATGTTTCGTTCATTTTTTAAGGTTCCTTCCTCTTATTTAGATTAGATGATGAATTAAGTAATTGTTTTATGTTGCAGTGGACTAGACTTTGGTTTTAGGATATACAGATTATCTACTAATGGACCGTTACATATGAACTTTTTGCAAAAATGAATAACAACTTTATTATCGAAAATAGCAGAAAAACCGTTCATAATGAACATAGAAACAGAAATTAAATTCTTTCTAATGATAGGAACATAAACACAATCTTTTGAAATTAAAATGCTATCTAAACCAAAATATAAGTAGACATCTTCCAGTGCAACTGCTGACGCTTTACTAGCATCGCCCAAGTAGATGGTAACCTCTCCTTCCCTAAATCGCTTGGTCTCTTGGAACCATTGGAAATTATTGTAGACATGATCAGTGGCTCTTGTATCTACACACCAGGTACGGGTAGATAACACCGCTAAACCTATTTCAGCGACTAATGAAAAAGATTTACCTTTATCGTCCTTCTTGAGGAGAGGGCAGTCGGCCTTCTAGTGTCCTTTCTGCTGTCATCTGTGGCATTTGCCTTTTGGCTTCTTTGATCCCCTCTGAGGTTGCACTTCATTCATGACGACTTTGCCCTTTCCTGCGGACTTCTTCCTCTTCCTACCCTTACCAGGCCTGGAAGAAGATCCCTCGCCGCACTGGGACACCATAGCTTGAGGCTTTTGACTAAGAAGGCCCTCTGCCGACTGGAGTTTTGCCAGAAGTGCCGGAAGAGTAAACGTCATTTTGGTCATGTTGTAGTTCAACCGGAACTGCTCAAAACTCTTCAACGAATATTGGAGGACTATATCGATCTGCGTTTCTGCGTCAATAAAACCCCTAAGTACCTCTAGCTCATTCAGTTTGGCCATCATAGCAAGAACATGTTCCCTTACGAGCCGGTTCAAGACTTTTTTTTAAAGTCTTAAAAAGTCTAAACTGAATACACCATGATTTATGAAATCTTGAAAAGTGTTTAGAAATCCAAATGGAAAACACCACCTAATTGTAAAACCTTACGATTTGGCAAAGGAGGAGTCAGAATTTCAAATTTACCCGGGCTAGAAGTATGACAAAATTATACATAACTTACTATATATAAAATATCTTTTGCATAGTAGACCTCTTAAGTCGCCTAATGGTAAAGGAACTATATTTTTTCACATATATGCAAATATTCACACTCAAATGACATACTTTAATTTATAATATAAAAAAATAAATATAACATTGTGTATATTATAAGTAAGATTTTTTTAGATAGTATGGCTGCCTAACATTAGGCAGCTTAGCACCATATCTATTTAAGTGTGTTCAAGAAGTTTTTCCTTAGAAATATATGTATTCACACATCAAAATAAATAAGGAAACTAAAATTAGCAAAGTTTTGATAAAACAAAACTATTAAAACCACATTTTTTTATTATCAAATAAAAAATAAGCTTAAAAAGTTGTTAGAAAACATCTAGACAGTAAAATTTGAAAGAAACAAAAGCAAAAATTGACATCAGTATTAATTGAGGTGATTATTACAGGATGGTTTAGATTTATAGATATACTATGAATACGTAACTATTTGAACTTGGGCTAAAATATAAGAAAGGCTATAAATTTTCTACAATCAATTTGTGGATTTTTCTAATACATTATAAATATGTTTGAGTCAAAAAATAATATGTATTTGCAAATGGCTTACCCGGGCTACAGCCCAGGACAAAATACATGTCCCTCTGCCCTTGCTATTTAGGCTGTAGCATATTTATTGTATGCACAATTTGGTCCGGTAATAATATTTGGGCTTGTATGTTGGGTATTTTTATTTAGTACAAGTAAATGGTCCAATGACAATATGAGCTCTACATGCCCAAATATGTTGGGTATTTTTATGAGGAATTTACACCCCATACTATCAAATATATTTTATATTACACATTTACACTTAATTAATATTTATTTGTAAAGAGACAAAATCACCCTAACATAATTGCATATATACTAGAATTCAAATTTAAGTCAACTAATCCTTTAATTAGGGAAGGAGAGATTACACGAAATTTTATACATCAACTCTCCTTCTATTCTCTCTCATCTCTCCCTATTCCTTTCTTTTTTTTTTTTTGCTTCTTCTTTTGCCAATTTTGTTCTGGTTTTGCAGTAAACTTTGAATCCGTCCGCAATTTCGTTAAGGTTTTGACTAGGGAGATGGAATTAGCGAATTGGGACATCCGATCTAGAATTGGTTGTCCGCTGCCCCCAGCCTGCCACCCGTATTCACGGCCAACGCCCTGAGGAAGGGAACCAACCGGAGAGCCCAGACGCCGCTGTCGTTGCACGAAGTGCTGGTGGAGGCATTTACGAACTGGATGGTTAGGTCGGTGGAGGTGAGGACGGGAAGCCCATCCTCGTCCGACGCTTGGGCCAGGTGAAAGGTCACAAGGAGGCCCCCGGCGGAGCCCGGTTTGGCTTTTGTGATGAAAGATCATAGGTCCTTCGCTTTTGAATCGTCCATTTGCAGGGAGATTTTTGAAGGGTTCGATAGTCCCAATTTTTCGATCGAGGGTGACAATCTATTTCTATCCGGTGAATTATGGTAGGGATGAATTAAATGGGGACAGATAGATGGCGGCCACTGTTATTGTACCGACATACGTGGAAGAGTAATCATATTTCAGAATTTTGGAATAAAGTTCATTTGTTTTACTAAGTCTTGCAAATGTATCGTTTGACCAATGAAGTTTTAGTTTGTATTTTACTTAGTCTTGCAAAAATACTAATTGTGGTGTGAATAATCAAGATTCATACCATGTTTTTTTTTCAACACTTCAGATTTGTAGTTTTAGTTTTGCTTATTTTTGTGATTGATGTTTGTTTTTTCTGAACAATGTTTTATTTATAGTTTATGTTTGGTATATTAGAAGATTTTTTTGTTGAAAACGAATTTGACAAACCATAAACTGAATTTATTTTTTTTTTGTGTATATGTATGGTTTATATTAAGTATATTTTCGGTATATGATAAAAATAGGAACACATAATTTTTTATGGAAGACATATTTTTCATTGCAACAGATACTGAATATATACTAACATAAACGCAATATATACCACCTGACAGCTACGTGAATTAAAGAATTCAAGTTGCGCAAATTAAGGAATTAAATGAGCAGTTAATTATTTTCAACGCATAAAAAGGGGAATGGAGGTGGGAAGGATATGGTAACTGTCTTTAGGTATTAATGTAGATAAATAAGAGTTTTTAGGTAGAGATATAATTATTTCAACTTGTATAGTAAAGTTGCAATTAATTTACAATCACATAACATAAATAAAAATTTTCCTATTTTATCTAGGTAATTTTTCGTAGAAAGATGAGCTCTACAAGCCCAAATATATATAAATTAGACCATTGCTAGATTTAAATAAAAATACTCAAAGCACTTGTAGATTAAGTTAACATAGCAAAGATATTTTACTAGAAAAAATTGATATAATTTTTACAATTAAAATCACAAACGTAAATAGTGAGACAGTGAAATACTAAACCAAAGCATTCAGATATATCTAAACATAATTTATAGTTTATAATAAAATAACCGAACAATAATAAAGTGTAAGAGTCGGGAGAAAATCGAATGATTAGTAGAATGAATAGCGAGTCCGAATGATTTTCGGATGAGTAATTTTCTGAATAATTATTTATGTTTAGTCCGTGCGCTTTACGTGCGTGAACAATTACATATCTTTAGTCCGTGCGCTTTGCGTGCGTCTTGCGTGCCGCTCTCGTAGAAAATTTGTGTGGACCGTTCACTACTTTTCTACTAAAGAAAATCTACTATAAAAAAAAATTCTCGTGCACTGCTACTATTGTTATTTCACGCGTCTCTCTTATCAAGTATTTTCTTGTAATATTAATATTTCTTTCTAGTTCAAATACCTGTTCAAAATAAGACTCTATAAAATAAAAATAAAATAAAATTAAATCATACCATATACAAATACTATTTTCTAGATATTTTACAATATTTTAGAAATGTAAATAAAATGAAATATAATAAATACAATTCATAAAACCGTATTTAACAATCTCCTTCATTTTGTTTTTACACTACAAAAAAATGTTATATTCCAATGGAAAATCCTACGATAATATATTCCAACGGATATTCCAATGGTATATAGCTTCCGTTCGAATGATTCCAACAGAAATTCCAACGAAAATATTTCATTGGAATGAATTTTCATTGGAAATTCAGATGGAATTTTATGATTCCAACGGCTATTTTTCCAACGGTTTTTTACCGTAGGAATTTCTGTTGGAATATGCAATTTACGTTGAAATTTTTATTTCCACCTCCGTTGGAAAATCTACCGTTGGAATGTTCAAAATCCAACCAAAATTCTAATGAAAAACTCATTCGAACAGAATATTTTTGTTGGAATTTCTTTTGGAATTCAATTAAAATATATTTGTATTGGAACTTTTGGTTGGAATTTGAATCATTTTGTTGTAGTGTTATGAACATAACATTATACTAAAAAAATAATAACAATAAATCCAGTAACTCCCCCTAAACTATAGAGTCCCCCTAAGTAAAATGTTAAATAAAAGTAGAGATAAAGATTAAATAATAACAAACAAGGACGAGCTCAAGGCTCGATAACGACAAATGTGCATATACAACTCTTTCTTGCCGGTACCAACACTTTAGACTTCACCTCATCTTCACCCTTTTTGTGGAGAAAGTATCGTCTGAATAGCGACTTGGTAACATTTGAAAAGACATCCCCACCCCCTTCAATTTGAGAGTGTAACTTGCTCGAGTAAAACACTATAAAACCATCTCAACCTAAAATAGTGAAGATGAAATTGTGGTTAAAAAATGAGGTGACTAAAAACTCATAACGCACACAAGAGAAATCACCATATCTCTCTTATCTTATATGAAATTGTTGGTGGCCTTTAAATGCTAACACATGATAGAAAATGCAATTACTGAAATGGCCCTAAAAGAGATGCGAGCCGAGTCGAGTTTGAACTTCTGATTCTTGGGCTCCCACTGAGGCTCAAGATTTTATTGAACCGAGCTTGAGGCTCAAGATTTTATTGAACCGAGCTTGACTAGTTATGCAAACGACTCGATAAAAGTATGTAAATTTATATATACAACACAAACACTTAAGAGCAAAACGTAGATATTGCAGAAAGCTTGGAACAAGTCAGCATACATAGATAAACACAAGCATAAGGATCAAATTGTAGTTGTGAGCAGAACACATAACATATCCAACTGATTGAAAATTCTTCGTGTCACATCTATTGACCGTGATCGTGAGACACTGCAAAAAGATCGTTTACCACCAAATAACTGGCTTTCATAGCAATGTCACACATGCCCCACTTGTATTCAACATCCCGTGCCAACCGGATGTAACCACTTTCAACCCACGAGCCTCCCTAAGAATTTTTAAGGATCCAAAATTTTATTCCATGCTTGGTCGTCCCGTACCCATCCACCGTTACAACATGATTCAATCATGTGCTGCAATTCCCAATATAACTTCCTTGTACATAGAAACATGAAACTTATATAACTTGAAAGTGCTTTGAATTGCAAATCTAGTTAAAGTGGTAAAGTTGTAGTTGGGTGTTTTACCGTACTGTAGTACATGAAATCTTTGTCAGCTGCTGTGCCACGACTTTCATTAGTGTTTGTTCATTGTTCAGAAGGATTCTCTGATAACCTACAATTTTCACCACAGGGGACATGACCTGCCACAATGTTAAATAATATTATCACAAATTCATAATCATATCTGTAACGCCCCAAAACAGTAATAATATTCAGAACGGTTTCACTGCTCGACTATAAGTGAAATCCGTAATTTTCAGAAATTATCGAGTTATATTATTTATGCTAAATGCTCAAACATGATAAATTATTCTTTGAATAATTCTATCTCAAGTATAAGTTAAGATTAATCCATTAAATTGGGTTATTAAATAATAGCAAGTCAATTTGAGAAATTACCGGACACGAACCCTAGTTGTCGTTCCGAGTATATTTTTCTAAGTCAAGATTGAGAGTTAATATTTTAATACTTAGAATATTTTTCTAAGTGTGTTAGAATGCCAAAGTCGAGCTTTGGACATTTTATATTGAGCCCTAGTGCTCACCCGAGCCGCCCGTGCCGAGCCCCGCACCTGCGCCTCGTGCCGTGCCAAGCACGTGCCTACCGAGCCCAAGGCTTGTCCTAAGCCTTGGCATAAGTTCCCTACAATTTTCTAAGTGTTGGAAGCCTTTCCCAACCCTTGCAACTCAGCCCAAAGTCATTTTCCCCGAGCAGCACCATTTCCCGCGCAGCCCAGCCGCGCCCTCGCGCCCAGCCCGCGTCCCCGCGCCCAGGGCCCAGCGCCCAGTGCCCAGCGCCCAGGCCCAGCGCCCAGCGCGACCAGTCCAGCTTCCAAGGCCCAAAACACCATTTTTCGGCCCACTTTCCTCATGGCCCAACTCAGGCGTGTAATTAGGACCTAATGAGGGTCTAATTAAGCTTAAGTTGCCCTAAGAAATGTTTAAGCAAAGACAATGAACATGGGGATTATTATAATGGTAGTGCATGTGGGCTAGTGAATATTTTAATCACTTGTGCAGCCTTGTCCCCCCTATTTCGTGCACTTGGGACCAGACCCCATTTGACCTCATTTTTATACACTAAAGGACCTGCCATTCCACCCAAATATTCCATGCAAAGATGCCCCAACACCCTCAAGTTCCTATGCACATAAAATGAGGCAAACTCATGATCTTTGGTCTCCCTTGACCAACATAGTAAGCTCCGCCCTCAACACCTATTTAAGACCCCTCCCTTAGTCCATTTTAAGCTCTTACACAAATTGGAGCTCGAGAAAAATAGTGAGGAGGGAGGAGAAAACCGAGAGCAAAGCTACCAGCCCTGCTGCCCGCACGCGCGCCCCGGGGAAGGAGAGAAGGCAGCCACCTCGTGTTCCAGCCATAATCTCTCGAGGCTTAGCATATTCTAAGTATTCTTTAGAATTTTCTAAGCCTTTTAGAGTTGATTGGCTCGAACAAATCACACCACAAAGTGAGCTTAACCTCCAAAGCCGCGACTAGCCCTAGTTTGAGCCCTAACTCGATTTCTCCATTTTTAACCGAGGTAAGCTCGGGATTTTTGATTCCATTAATTATATTATGACATTTTAAGATTTTTCATGAAGAAAAACCGAGCCATGCATGTCATTATATGTGAGTTACGAATTTTTGAAATAAATGACCTTAAAAATGAAATTCGAGTAGGAAGCATGTCTAAGTCGAGATTTCTTGTTTAAACACCCTCAAATATCATACCATTAATGCTGTAAAAATTTGAGAATAAAATGAGTTCATTGCCTTGGTCAAATCATGCTCTAAAATATGTTAAAAGGGGGACCCGAACCCTAGTTCATTGCATGCAATATGTGCCACATATTTTAGCCTCTATAGTCATGAATTTACATGTATAACATTCGGCCCTGAGTAGTTTTTCAAGTTATGTATGTTGGTTCGGACGTCAAGTGCTCGTACGGGCCATATAAGCCCTACCGAGTGAACATGCAAGTGGACCCGGGGTCCACTAGTGATTTATATGTTAATTGTGCTTATTTTATCATATTATGTTGTATGGTCATGCATGTTGCCGGAAATAGTCGCCGGAGGTCCGGCAAGGGCCGGCCTTGGTCACTGGCCGCGCACGTAGTGCGGTAGTGCCCGGCCCCAGTGCCTGTCCGTGCCTGCAGAGGGTAGCCTTAGCCAGTGCCCGCGCCCGGTAGGCGCGAGGCACAGCCCGCGTGCACGCAACAGCGCCCGCAGCGCCCAGTGCGTGCCCGTGTGCCAAGCATAAGCCCCAGTAGCCCCAGCACGCGTGGCCATGGCACCCAGCGTGCCCAGCCATGCGCACGGCGCCCGGCAGCGCCCGTGCAAGCCCCAGTGCACGAGGTCTCGTGCCAGAGCCTCGTGCCAAGTCCAGGGCTGACCCGAGCCGGGCCAGCTGAGCCCAGTTGGCCTCGGTGCATGCCCCAGCAGCATGCCCGAGTGCCCAGTGACCTCGGGGACACCCGGCAGCGCCCGTGTGGTCTCTGTCCGTGCCTTCCCCGTGCCAGCAGTGTCTGGCCAGTGCCTGTCCGTGCCCAGCCGCACGACAGCGCCTCAGTCGAGCCTCGGCCGTGCCCAGCACGCACCCGAGGGGCACCAGTCGTGCCCGGGCCGTGCCAGCAGCCCCTGGCCGTGCCCACCAGCGCCAGTCCGCGCCTAGCCAAGTCCAGCGGCACCAGGGACCGAGCCCGGTCGCACCAGCCGTGCCCAGCGCCGTGCCCGGGCACCAGCTGGCCCGGCACGGGGCCGAGGCCGGTCCAGCCGATCCAGCGCCCGACCGCCCGGTCCAGCCGAGCCGGCGGTCCGGCCAGTCAGCGAACCGACCGGTTCGACCGGCGGTTCGAGTCCGTTTTGATTCGTGACTTCCGGTCCGAGTCTAGTTACGAAATTTTACTATTTTTCTGAGCTAGTCCAGTTTAATCGCGTAGATAGGTCCGAGCATTTTAGCATATAATTAAACATTCCGAGCAGCATACTTAGCATTTATTTGCTTATATGTTCATGTAGCTTAAGGAGAGTCGAGCCTCCGACAGCTACCACAGTTTTTCAAGCACTTGCCAGATTTTCAATATTACCAGGTGGGGGCCCTGCACTGGGTATTACATTGCCTATAATCTTGTACCATTTATGAGGTATGTATGTAGATAAGTTTTCACCCGAACGGTCCAGTTTAACCGTTCGTGGTCCAGTTTATGTTGACTCCCAGTAGAGTCACTCGCCCAGTACAGTTTTGACTCCCAGTAGAGTCATCCTGGGTTTCTGGGGAGGCGACCCCCAGAACGTGATCACCTGAGAACCGGCCAGTTACCGGTAGTCCGCACCAGTACAGTACAGTTTTATTTATGTATATGCTCAGTTTATGATATTCGATTATACGTGCTGTTTATTCAGTGCTGGTTCTTGCGGAGTTCAGTGGATGAGTACTCACGCCCCCACTATTATCTTTTTAGGTGATGGAGTGCAGCTCGGAGCGTGAGACGAGCATGGTGGTGTGGTGGTGTCCGAGACAGCTGGACATTTGTTATGTTTATGTTATGTTGGCATGTATAATAATTTCAGATTACACTGTACTTTATTTTACGCTTCCGTACTGCCAATCCAGACCTAGTATGTATTCATGTTTAAATTGTCCCTCATCCGTATTTTCCCCGTCGGATTTTATATGTTGATTTGGGTACGTGTATAAGTATCATAAAGAGAAGAAAGTTAAGTCAGTAAGTAGCATCCCGCAAGTTAGTAAGTTTAAACGTTTTTTCGAAAACAGTATGAGTATATTTCGAAAATAACCGCGAAAATTTTACCCAGTTTTTCGTGAGTCAAAGTTATAGTAGGCGGGGTGTTACAATATCTTTAGAGGAATTGAATAAGAGACATGCATGCATTTAAAAAGATAATTAGTTGAGATTTTTTTGTTCGGCTCTGGACCTTTTTCTGCACACAATGCACATAGGAAGAATAAAAATCTCCAAATTCTAAGTGCAAGTAAATTAAATTTATATATTATAAATGACCCTTTCAAACTTTATTTTTATTATTCACCCTTGTTCCCTTCTTTTTTTTCTCTCTACATTAATTGTTCAATCATTAGCAAAATTGTTAATCACATCCAACAGTTTTAGAGATTTCTTGAATCTTTCCTATATTTTGAGAAAAAATTGACCAATTCTGTTAGTTTATGTTATCGAATTGGAAAAAAATGGACAAGCAATGTGTCGTTAACCCTCATAGCATAGCTGAAAGCTTGAAATGGTAAGTACTAAAAATTAGTTTATAATTTTTCCTTTGACTAGTTGTTTCTATTTTTGTTTTTAGAATTGAAATTGAATTTACTGTAGCTGATTTGTAGATTGGAAATTGGGGCTTATGAATTTAGCGTAGCTGGAAACAGAATTTTGTATAGCTGCAAATTTTAAATTTGAAAGTTGGTGCTTATAACTTTATTGAGTTATTTCAATATTTAGATTTGGAGAAGTCTATAGGTATTGCCGTTCTTATGAATGAATGGTGCTTTATACGTTAGCTATTATATGCATCGAAGAATGATATTACTAAAAATCTAGATTAGGAAGATATAATTTGATATGGGATACTATACCTAAAGGAGTAAACCGTCCCACTTAACCAGTTAAGCGAGTCAAGCAAACCGAGCAGGCTACCTCGATCGAACAGAATCGAGCAGGGTGGTCGTGGTTGAACACCACAAGAACAAGAGCCTTTGAATTATAAGGCAACTCATAGGGGTTCTAGTACTTGAAAGACATTTCAGTCCTAGGTCCATGGAGGATCTGGCTTAAGATCGACCAGTCAAGCAATGGTCATTGGATCGACCATATCATAGATTGAGAACAGTCCGAGGATCGACCTAGGCAAGGTTGAGCACAAGACCCTTTGAGGAGACTTCAGAGGAATCTTTACCAATGTGCGGGGGACACGTGGTGCGACTTGATTGGTCCCCACTAAATAACCATCTCTAACACAAGCACATTGTGTGTGTATGAACGGCCAGGCCGGACAGTTTTGGC